CTGGGACTGCAGCAACAAACCCACTGGTTTTCCTCTACAAAAAAAAAAAGGGACCATGTGGCCCAATAGAAGCCAAGGTGCAGGAATCTGGTGCAGGGTGCTTGAAGGAGCTGAGGCAGTGGGCATCTCTTATTTTCCTTTAAAACTCCGTTCCTCTGGCACTGATCTGGAAGCTCTCCTTGGTGTGACATGTTCACACACACATCTGTGTTTCTCTTACAGCCTTTAGGGAATGATGGCCCTCTGGGTGGGAGGTCGGCAGCAATAAAACAGTGAGGCCAGGCTGTTTGGTAGGCATCCCCACCCTGCAGCAGTCCTGACCTTTTTTGGGGGTCCTGTGGTAGATTTTGAAAATAGCAAGGTGAAATTGCTGCTGTGCAGAAGGGCTGGGGCCAGCAGCCATGTCCAGCAGAAGCTCTGAGCACCAGGGAGGTGCTGAGCAGTTCTCATGCCTGAACACTGAGTGAGAGCTGAACATGCTCTGAGCAGCACAACTCGTGTCCTGAAACTTCTGAAAGAGCCACTTCATGGCTTTGGATCACACAGTTCATGAGCTGGCTGTGAATGAGGGACTGTTCACCTGGTCATGCTGCTCCTCTGCTCCTGCTGTTTATTCTGGGAAGCAGAAGCCTCCCAAATCGATCTGGTAAGTGTATCAATGAGATGATTGTTTTTGGATTGACTCCTCCCTGGCTCATGGAGATCTACAGGGTTATCCGTGTGTGTATGCCTTAAAGCAACTGAAGAATCTAGTGGTAGTGCTATGTTGATCACCAGTGTTGGACATTTTTTACCATATATGATTAATAAATGATGAATTACCAATAAATTTATGCTAAGGTGAGGCAGAAGATGCTGCCTTCTCAGAAAGAAGCTCTTTTCCAGCATGTCCTCTCCTGCAAAGAGCCATTGTCAGCAGCCTCAAAAGGAATAAAACCACTGCCTTCAAACCAGTGAACCTCCATCTCCTTTGTCAGTATGCACAATACAAATAATTTAGAGGTTTGTTTTTTTTTTTTCTTAATGTTGATATCTCCTTCAAATTAAGGGGAAAAACAGGTCTCAGGAGTATGAAGGCCTCTAGGCCGGACTGTTCAGTGCCTCTGATCCAGAGGAAGTCTTGGTGGAATTGCTGGGGTGTCGGTGTACCTGCTCATTAGGATTAAAGTGCCCTTGTGGTTCACATTAATCCACTTTGGGATGCAAAGTGACAAAAGCATCTTTGTGGGGGATCCCTCCGTGTGGGGAGCCCGGTCCCTCCGCTGCCCTGCCAGGCCCGGAGCTCCCCCGTGGGAGCCTGACGGTTCTTCTGTTTAAGTCAACAGGGTTTAAGTCCCGCTGGTTTAAATATCAGGTTTAACTGGGGCTTGCCTGCATATCAAAGGCGCTATGGTAATTTTTACGAGGGAAAGCGCGGAGGGAAAGTGTTTGCCTGGTGCTGTCCAGGCTCCTCCCTGCCCTCCGTGCTGAGTCACTGCCCTCCCTCACCCAGCAGCGCCTGCACCCTCCTGGTGCTGTTTGTGCACGATGGGGTCACACACACCCGGCCTGGGGAGCCCCTGCATCAACAAGAGCTAAAAATGAACAAAGAGCCTTCCTGCTTCGCTGCTATTTATTTACGTGCTGCCCTGCGTGGTGAGCTCCACTCTGGCACCTGGGTTGTGTGTGGACTGGGCTTGAAGTTTTCTGGAGCCAGCCATCTGCTTCCTGCTGATGTGCTGGTGCCTCGCTGTGCCTTCAGTCTCGCTCCAATCTGCACAAGATTTATGGATAGATATTATATAGATTTAACACAATAGCATGGGTTTTATTATTTGCTGGAAAATGTTAATAAACCCCAAGTATTACAGATGCATTTTAATCCCTGAAGTGATTTTTGAGTAGAATGCATGAATTATTAATTGTTGTTATTGTTATTATTGCAGTGCATACCTACCTCACAGGGCATTGTGAGGATTAATTAATTCTTGTAAAGATGTAAAAGGCCGTATAGGTGTCAAGGGTTATGACTAAAGTGCTTTGAAAATGGAAACCACTCTGCAAGTGCCAAGTATTATTATTTATGGAGTCCAGGCAGTATGCTTGGTGCTGTGCAAACACTGGGCCAGTTATTGCAAATATTTGCTTATATGTGCTTGGTAGGCCGAGCACTCCCTGTTACAAGTCATTTCAACTATTTTAAGGATGCGTCTTAAAAATATGGGCATGAGAAGACTTTCCAGTCATTGGGATTATGGAGCCACTGGCCATGAGCAGCTGTCACTGAAGAACTTCAGAAGCATGCTTTTATTCAAACACAGAGATGAACCAAGACCTCAGTTCTGCTCTAGTTCTACATCTGAAAGTTGGGGTTTTGTCCAACCTTTCTTGCTACTTTGGGAAGGGAAGTGTAACAAGAGCTATTGTTTAGAAGTGGCTCTCCCAGAAGGCAAAGCCAACTCCCTGAGCTCAGCTCACTCACCGAACAATCTGCTGTAAACCACAACCTGCTCAACTGCCCCATGTTACCCAACATCCGTTCTTGGAAACCTCTGAGAGCAAGAGCCTCCTTCCCATGCACTCTGGAAATGTCCCCTGTAGCTCTGAATCCAGCTGCACATTTGGGCCAGAGAGCTGCAAAGGCTAAAGCCCATCACGGAGAGTGAGGGGCCTTTGTGCAGTCCTGCGGAGTGTTCGCCTTCGTGAAAAAAGGGAAACCAGAACAAAACAGATGGGGGACAACTATTAAAGCACAAATCCACCAGAATTCACTTTGCACCTCCTGGAGAGCAGAGCTTCTCGGGAAATTGCCCGGTTGAGCACGTCATTGTGTTAAAAAAGAGAGCCTGGCACCCCAGAGCTGCGACTGAACATTTGGAGAACACCAGAGCACGGAAACCTCCAGCCAGATGACTCCAGCTCAGCGCGCTGTCGCTGCTCGGCACATGGATGGGAAGACAGTGTTTGTAGTTCCTGAGGGCCAAACAACGCACACTTCAGGGACTCTCCCTCCCCCGTTTCTCACACAAGCTTTCTGAACGTCACACCTCTCATTCCCATTTCATGGACTTCTCACACGTCCTTCTTGAGGCCCCTGCTGTCCCTCAGTCCCCCAAAAGAGTTCCCTTTTCCTCTTGCCTTAGGCTATATTCCCATTCCCCTTCCTCCACACACTGTTAGTGCTTATCTTCTTTCACCTGGGAAATAAATCAGAGTATCAAGAGGTCAAACTCCATTAGAAGCATGGACAGATCTAAGATTATAATGCATGAATGTGTTAATGAGAGCCTTGCCACTTTTTCTTCCCCTCTTAAATTTCTTGACTTTCAGCAAATTTTGGAGCTGAACTGGATATAGCGTTCAAAACTATTCCCTCTTACGTACCTAAAGCAGACAGCCTACACACCATTAGTGAGAAAAGAAAGCTGCCCATTTGGGCCACCAAAATCATTACACAAATAAATGCTGGACACCAAGTGATTTACAATTACAAATATGCTTCCTGGCTCTCCTAGAGAGATTTAGGTTTCCTTACAAAACTTTGGCCTGTATTTAAATATTCTCCTTCATAAAGGAAGGAAAAATGCATGGTTTTGACCCTGAAGAAAATGAGTACTGTGAGAGGATCCTACACCCAGTGATCTACCCAAGGCTTTGTGGAGCCGATGAACCCCATCTGCCTGTGTGATGATGCTCAGGTAGGCAAAATCTGCCTATGGTATATCCCAGGTGTTAGACTGAAGGTAAAATCCAGAAATTCTGCCTTAGGACTAGCATAGTTGTCTGGCAATACTCTATCCACAAAAAAAGAAAGAAAAAAAAAAAAGGAAAAAAAAAAGGCATTATATTCATGACCATCTCTTTACCCACTGCCAGCTGCAGTGAAATTGAGGTGAAATCGACTTCTGAAATTGAGTGTGATGATGTGGATGCCCTGTTTGAGCAGCACCAGAGCTGGGCTGGGGTGTGTGGAGAGCCTTGGAATGAGCTGGGATAACCTCGGATGTTGCCATCGCATCCGTGCAGGGTTTGTGGTCATTGGGACTCTGCACGGGTGCCAATGTCCGGACATGAGAGTGCTGGACCATCGCCCAAGAGTGTGAAATGCTCTTGCAAAACCATTTTAAGATGGAAAGGGCTGCCTGGTGACGAATGTGGTTTTGATTAACAAAGCTCGCTTTCAAAAACAAACAATGCGGCCCTATAGATGACAAACAGCATTTCAATTGTAAAAATGAGCAGCGCCCAGGTAGGACATTGCATTAGTGCTGCGGAGGATTATTTTCATTAAATGAAACGAGAGAGCAGAGGCGGCAGCGGGGTGCCCACACGGGGCTGGATCCCGGTGCCAGGTGCCATCGCCAACCGCGACGGGCTGCGAGGAGAGAGGCAAAACCACCATGTTACATCCTGCATTTACATAAGCTCTGTTGGCAGCGCAGTTTAATGTCTTTCCTAGAAAAGCTCCGCGGCCTGGGGCCTGCCGTGCCCGGGCGGCCTGCCCTTCGCTTCCCTCCCTTCGCCCGCGGCCGCCTCCCCTCCCCTCCCGCACTGCCGGGCGCGGCGGGGAAGGCGTCAGGGAGCGGGTCCCCCTCCCGACCCCCGCGCTGGGCTTGTGTGGCCGGGCCGGGCCGCTCCTCCTCGCCTGGCCTCGCCTCCCGGCTCCGCTGCTTCCCTTCCTCCTTCCTTCCCTCCCTTCCTTCCCTTCCCTTCCCTCCGCCGGCGCCCATTTCGGCGCGGCCGGGCACCCGGAGTGTCTGCGGGCCGCCGGCTGCTCCGCGCCGCTTGGCTCCTTCCCCCAGTAACAGCTCCCACATTCCGCCCCGATCCCTCCTCAATCTCAATCACACACACACATATTACTTTTTTTTTTTTCCCCTCCTTCCTCGGGACTTAATCTCCAGGCCCCCCCCCCCCCCCCCCCCCGCCCTCCCCACCCTCCCCTCCCCCGGCCCCTGGCTCGGATATAATTGAATATCACAGCGCTACGCGCTGGGTATTTTTTTTCCTTCCTCCTCCTGTGTGTGTGTGGTGGTTTTGTTGGTTTTTTTTTTTTCCTGGTGTTTTTTTTCCTCCTCCTCCTCTCGGTGTGGACACCTTAAAAATACATATATATATATATGTGTGTGTATATACATATATATATAATCGATAACTATACGCGTGTACACACACACACACTCACACAGGCAGGGATGTGCGCGTATATACACGCGGCGGTATAAAACACACGGGAGGAGGAGAGACAATCCAGGGTGAATTCCTCGTGCCTCCATTCCCGGGGAAAGGGGGGAGCAGCCGCTCGCAAGGTAAGAACCGGGGGGCTCCGAGCCCCGGGGGCGGGCAGGGGCCGGGGATGGGGGTGGGGGGCGGCCGCCCTGTTTGTGTCGGTGCGGGCGGGAGGGGGATGGGACCACAACGCCTCTGTGACCCCCCCGTTTTTATTAATATGTGTGCATGTGTATATATATATATATATATATATATATATACAGACACACACACATATATATATATACACACACATATTTATCCCTTCCCCTCCCCCACCCCGCGCCGCTGGCTTCCCCTCCCCCACCCGCCTTCATTTTTTTTAAATTAAAAAAAAATAAAAAAAGAAGAGGTTTAATGGAGCGGGGGGATGGGGGGGACACCGGCCTCGGCAGCGAATGGCACACTGGAGCCATGGCGAGAGGCCTATTTTTAGCCCGATTTGTGTGGAAGAGCGGCTTCCCCTCCCCCCCTTCCCGCATATTTACTTTGGGGGGGGGGAGGGGAAGGGGGGGGGGCAGGGCCGGGTCGGGGTGGGGGAGGGGAGGCCCTTCCCCTCCCCCACTGGCGGAGCCCTCCCCCATCCCCGCTCCCGTTCCTGGGGAGGGGATGCGCCCCCACCCCGGGCCGTTCCCCATGTCCCCCCCAGTGCCAAGTTATTGATCAGTTCGGCGGCGAAGTTCGGGTGGAACATGCAGTGCCCCGCGGTGCCAGCGAGCGGGCCCGTTTCGGGCCATAAAATAACCTTATATATCCCCATTTCCCAGCGTCTCTCCTTCCCAGGGCTTATCCCTGTCCGAAACCCTGGTGTAAATTGTGTGTTGCATCAATTAGAGGGGCTCTCACGGTTGATGCAGTGTGGACTGTTTTCTTGCTGGAGGATTTAAGTCCTGAAATATGTGGCTTGTTATTGTTGTACCTTCGAAAGGGTTAAAATTTATCGTGTTGTTCCAGGTGAATTTAATCTTTCATCACCGAATTTCCTTTTAAGGCAGCTTGACAGAATAAAAGTCTCTCTCTCGCTTGTCTTTATCCCCAGAACAGCAAAACTTTGTCTGTGCTTTATGGCAGGGGCTGGTTGCTGCAGATGACACGTGAGTCTAGAGGAAAGTTTGGTTTGTAGGTCGCTGTGTAGGAAAGTGAAGTTTGCTGGTGAAGTTTTTACTACTCTCCAGTGTGCTCGACTTCCTCGTTTTCCTGTCTGTGTAAATCAAATTCCTAACTGATTTATGGGGGAGGGGATCACAAAACATATTCCTTCCTTATTGTTAAGGCATGGGAGGCATGATCAGGAGAAACAGGTCTTTGTTGCATAAAAAAAAAGAGTTTTGCGGGCTTGTCTGACTCGCTTTGCTGTCCTTCCGTGCTAAAATAAATGTCTGAGCACGTTGTGTGCTTTAAAAAGGTTCTTTGCTGTTGATGGTCTCTGCTCTTTGGGTGTTGTGAGTTGTGCTCCTTGAGCAGCAAGGGCGCCATGTGCGAAGTTGGTGTTTGGGGTTTGGTTGTACCTGGGTTTTGGGGCAGTTTGGTGCCCTTTTCTTGCTCTGATTAACCCAAAGGCTTGTCCACATGAGGCTCACGTTGGGTTTGGGGCCTTCCTTTGGACATGTGTGTTAGTGGGCTTTTTGGAATATATTCCAAATGAGGACTGGACTGCAAGCTCCTGTGTGCGTCCTTAAATTTAAGTGAGTGGGTATGTGTTTGTGGATGAGCTGTGAAGGGGTTTTTGCTCTTATTCATTGAAAAAAAGGGGCTGCTAATGGTGCTTAGGGCACAGGTGGTGCGCTGCAATTGATCGAAACAAACTTTCTGTGGTTTTCTCTCGTGTTTTTTTCCCTTTGTTTAAGTTCTAATGGAATGGCAACATTTTGTATTATTTACCTAAGGTCACCTGAGCTGGTACACTGTCGCTATCTTAAGTTTTCTTGGGAGAAGTTGGATTTTTCTCCATGAGAACCGTGTTTTCTGGTACTCTGTCTTGGGAGCTTGGTGGCCTGCCTCCCAAACTGTTACTGGGAACACCTGGAGAACACTTAGCTCTCATTGCTTCAGGAAAGGAGAAGGAAGTGTAATTTAAATCTATGAAAGGAGTTGGGGTTTGGCTTTTGGGCTTTATAATTTATTTTTAAGACTTTTCAAGCGTGTATAGTTTTTGTTTGTTTGAATGCGCACAGCCATAGCGCATGTGTGTAGCATAAAGAATACAATAATTACAGAAGATTCTGTTGCTTAAGCTTCCCCCCCGCCCCCGTTCAAACAGGTAGTTAAGATTTTTTTTTCTTGTGAGTTTCTTTTTTAATATGAATACTTTTTCAGTTTTACTCTATATATGGTAGTTATTGATGTTTGTGTAATGCTTTGAAGTTGTAAGGCAGGGTATAAGCGCTAAGTACCCAACAATACTTGAATGAATACTTCATTGTCATTTTCCCATCATGAAAGAGTTTGATGCTAAAAAGTGCTACAGCCCTAAGCATAAAAGAGGCTCTGGATAGATTAGGGGAAATGGCCAAAATTGCTGATAATGTTGTTTTCAGATAATAGTTTTAAGTTAGGAAGAACAGATCTGAATAATGTAAAGCACACTGAGTTATTTTACCTAACTTCATTTTGGTCTGGAATTCAATAGAACGTGGACTTCACATTTGAGTCAGAACGTGTTTGCTGTTGTAAGTTCTGTAGTGGCAGTAAAGACCCGCATCCTACAAGGATGTAATCGTGCACAAGTCAGGAAGTCCTGTAAAGCACACAGCTCTGTGAACATCATTGGGCTCGTTCAGCTGAATGAGCTCTGCAGCTGTCTGTGAAGTTGCTCCCAGAAGTTGGGTGTGTTTTGTATTAGTGGTGGGCAGTAGGATGTGAATCTTTCATTACCCCGGTGCTGTTTTGGTACAACAGCACTGTACAGTGTCTTGGGAAGGCTGAGGTACTGCTGGGTGTGACACCTTTTCATCACTGATTCCTCTGCTTGTTGGGAATCCCAAGTGACAGTCACCCCTGCAGTTTTTGCTTGCTTGGCCTGTCTCTTCTGCCCCCCTGGTCCCTCAGCTGCTGAGGATTGTGGTGCCTGTGTGAATTCTGACACCTTGCTGGCGAGGACACTGCTGGCAGGCGGAGCAGAGACAGACACAAGTCTCCTGCCAGCCTTCCCCTGCCCAGCTGGGATAAGGTGGTGGTGGTAGCGTGGTCTGGTCTGTGCTTTGGAGAGGAGAGCAAGGACAGGGTGTGCTGCAGGTCAGTGTTGTGTCAATACTGCAATATTGTGATTGTGAGATGTATCGTACCCAAGTGTGACTCATTGATAATCTAACTCACGTTGTTCATTTGGAGTGGTGTGATACTGGTCTGTGCTGGCCATCCTCACTGGGTGTGTGTTTGCACATGCCTGCACCCCGAGTTCAGGGTGTAATAATGGCTGTATTTAGTGCCCTAAACATCAGCTCATGCAAGTAGCTGCAGGTTGGGAGAGAAGTGAAAGTGTGTGTGTGCACACTCTGTAATTATGCATGTTTGGCTCCTGCAAAAAGTAACTGCTCTGAGAATATACTCATTGCGTGCTCATTTTTAAATACAAATTTAAGTGTTTGTGTTAGGTGAAGGAGTGTCAGGAGCTTCCCATTAGGAGCTATGATTGACAGCTCTTTTCTGGTTTTGAGTTGCATTGCTGCATTAATGTAGTAGCTTCAAATTAACAGGTGATGAAGAAACCATTTCTGTGTTTCTGCTGTTGATTTAGCTACCCCTGTCCCAAATGTGCCCAGTTTTTTAAGTGCTGAAGTATGAAGTTAGATGGTCTTAATTTCTGTAAAGTCACTTAAATGACAAGTGATTTTACTAGAAAAAGGTTCAAGTGATCCTGACCAGAGTAGATGGAGACAGCTTTATTCATTTCATAATTGGTTTCTTCTGAGATAAAGTGTGACAATGAAATGAGGAATAAGGAATATCTTTTGATATGAAATTGTAGGGGACTATATGGCTTTCCTTTAATTTTGCAAAATTGAATTAGCTAACTGGAGGTAAGAAGCAGTGAAAATGAGGCAGCATAGCTGTCACTCTGGGAGAGTTGATAGCTTGAGTGAAAAGGTTTGAAAATCTGGTCTGGAAATTGCCAATTTTTATGAAAACTGGAGAACTTCTTAGGGTTCTGCCTTGTGGTGTCTAATCCAAGATGAGAAGGCCCTTTCCTTCCCACTTGTAAGGAAAACAAGGCTGAGCTTGTTTATACAAAATGCCCTAGAGTCTTGGTGGCCTTGTTTGAGCTCAGGTTAAATGTGTCTCTGGTTCGGAAGGATCTGCAGAACCGTAACTCAGCTTACACTCTGAAACCTTTGTCTTTAGTACCTTAGCACTTACCTTTCTGTGACATCCTTTAGGCTTTTTATATTGATAAGGAGCCTTAAAAATAATTCTGCCTTGATAAGAAGTGGTCATTCCAAGCTGGAGGTTGTGTAATGGTAGGGGAAAATTCACACATTGTTTGGGTGTGTAGGATTTTGCTGTCTTGGCTAGCCAAGGAGTGAAATTGCTGGTGTTGCAGCTCACACCTGCTCGCTTTTTTCTTGGATGGGCTGATTGCAGGGAGGACTTTTGAGTGCATTTCCTTACCTGTAGAAGTAGAAATCAGAAAGTCTTCTGAATTGGTGTAGCTTTCTGAAGAATTTACTGAAAGAAGCTCCAGAGTGATGAGGGGGAGCATTATGGAATTGTCTTGGCCAATATATGCAGTGTCTTTCAAAAGAGTCTCAATTTAATTTGGATATAATTGTGTGTGGCCAAACTCAGTACTAAGTGGAGATACTGAGGTCCTTTGGAATACGTTAGCTTGAATGCCAGAAGCAACATCCCTAGGTATGCTATTGGCCTAACACGCCATTTTTTGAGGATGAGTAATGCAGGCAGATTGGGTGTCAGCCTGGCTGTGTGGTTCGGTGCCTGCCCATGGCCCTTCCTGGTGCTCTCTGTATCCTGCTTGCCTCCAGGAGCTGGAGGTGCGGTGCCAGTGGGGATCCGGTCCCTGAATTTGTGCTGTAGTTGT